TTTTGAATTTAGTAGTTGCGTAAAGATGTTCAAGCATTAAGATTCTTCAAAACGTTTTTAAAATTAAAAAAATAGATTCTTATACCATACGTGTACTTTTAAATCAAGTTACTTTTCTTTACTTATGAGAATAATTACTGTTGCATATTTGTATTTTTAAAAGAAAGTTTCTGCATGAAACAAAAGTCGGCAATAGAGAAGCGCATGAATTCATTAGCTAGAAACACGAATTTTTTATCATGTGTCTGTGACGTCACATGAATTTATGAACTGATTGGCTGGAAACATATTATAGTTATCGCGTGACTATGACGTCACATGAGTTTAACCCATATTAAGATGCGAATCTCGATATAGTCTGACTTAAAAAAAAACTTCCAGTGAAATTTTTATTCTAAAAATAACACAGATTTTTTCAAGTAATGATTTACTCAAAAGTCTTATTCATTTAACATACAGCATCTTCTACATGGGGAAAAAATTCTAATTCGGAATTCACACACACACACACACACACATTTCAAGAAAAGATACAGAAACAACTAATAACAAAAATCAGTAAAAAGTAAAACTTTTTCAAAACAAATTAAAATTACACCGCTATTTTTTCATCATCTTTTATTAAGGTATCCGATTACGTTCGGAACCGTGATTTTAAGAAAGCGCATTAATGGATAATACTTATGATATTTAGTGTCACTTAGATTAGAATACATGTATAAAATTGTTTTAAGGACATTTTGACAAAATTTTTTTATTTAAATACAATATTTCGGCAAAAAATTAACTTAGAACAACCCTTTTTCAAAATGTTCTCCTTTTGTGAAAAATGCTTCTATTATAATAATATTTTGCCTGTATATAGCTCAGACCTCTGTACAGATGCTCAACTAGAGAATTTTTGCAATATATAACTTAGAAGTGGGTTTATCCATGTTTTACGACAACAGAGAGGAGAAATTTTAAGAAAAAAACGCCGATAATTTTTTCAATGGAAATAATTCTGAAAATAATGTGAATTTTTCAAAAATCATAGTTGAGCCTCTGTACAGAGGTCTGAGCTATATACAGGCAAAATATTATTATAATAGAAGCATTTTTCACAAAAGGAGAACATTTTGAAAAAGGGTTGTTCTAAGTTAATTTTTTGCCGAAATATTGTATTTAAATAAAAAAATTTTGTCAAAATGTCCTTAAAACAATTTTATACATGTATTCTAATCTAAGTGACACTAAATATTGTGAAAATTATACATTTATGCGCTTTTTTAATATCATGGTTCCGAACGTAGTCGGATACCTTCAGGTTATAGATGGCGCTGTTTCAACAGCGGCGTTGTGTAAGTGTATCCCCGAGAAAGGGGAGAGTTGTGTGTATGACGAGACTGAGAGAGGGGAGCGTTACAGAGAGAGTTTGAGTAGAGTATTTTTGAGGTGTTATGAGTTGTGAGAGTATAGTAATGTATAAGGTGTGAGATATATATACAGTCAGACTTCTATATAACGAAGTCGCTAAATCCCGAAAAAAAGTTCATAACAGGGAAAACTCGTTATATACAGGTTCATCTTTTAATATACTTTATAAACCACATAAAACAAATTTTAAATTCATAAACACAATATATTTAAAAAAGTAATTATTCACACATTTTTAAAAAAATTAATACATGTTTATTTTAAATATCTTACCCACCAAAAAAAGAAAGAAAGAATGATAAACTACAAGGAAAACAAGAAAAAAGAATGTCCAAGAATTCACTGTATTTTCAATATTAAGAAAATAATTTGATACTAAAATTATTGAATTTTAAGGACATTTTCTAATCTAAAGCATACAAGTAATATTAGACATACATTATTTTATAATTAGAACACGGAGACACGGAACAACTCCACTGAGGATAAAAGGGGATATAGAAGATGTGTCCAGTGACCTGGACAATGGGGGTTAAAGGTTGCACTTCTTGGATGAAACGTCAAGAACTCTATTACTCTTGGCGAGTTAGGATCTAAAGAAACCAGTTCAAGATTTACGACCACCATTAAATATATTAAAAGTGAGAATAACTTGAAATGTTCAGAAATACTTTAAAAAAAAGGGGAAAAATTGAATCACAAAAGAAAAAGTTCGTTATATAAAAATGCACTTCGCTATAGAGAGGTTATTTTACGAAGAAAATCGCGAAATGTTCAAGGTTCCAGGAAAAAGTTCGCTATATAGAAAAGTTCGTAATATAGAGGTTCGACTGTAGTTGGTAATGAATAAGGTGTGAGTAGTTAAAAGTTGTAAATAAAATTGTTATTTATTATTAGAGAGTGGTAGAGCTGTTTGTAGATAGTTAGCGTCGTCAGTACAAATGTATTCCTATTATTTTTACGAGACCATTTAAACATATAGAAAAAATGTCACATTTGTTGCAAAGTAGCCACCTTATAATGGTAGATGGTGAAGGATTATATAACCAATAATCTATTGCAGTGGTCCCCAACCCATGGTCCGTAGATCAAAAAGTACCGAGTCACAGAAGAAACGTTCATATATTTCCATTTTATATACCATGGTACATTTCTCTCGGGTTTGTTTGACATTTTATGGAAACCATTTTATATTCCATGTTAAATCAATTTACATTCATTTTTTTGGTGTAACAGTATTTTATTCTGAAGGCCTATTTAAAAACAATTAAGTTAAAATATAAAATAAAAACAATCAACGTCTTCCCTCCCCCATCCCACCCCCAGCGGACCACGGTAAAATTATCAAACGTTGACCAGTCAGCAGCGATATAAAGTTTGGCGAGCCCAGCTCTATTGGTACAGATACCTATATCTACCAGCGGTATTTATTCAAATCTAAGTTGCCATCGATTCTAAGCCACAGCCCAAATTCTCAACACATTTTTGTGAAAAAAATAGTAAAATATGCAATATTTGCAAAATTTTAAGAAAATTGAAAGGATAACTAAAAGAAAGAGAATAATTAATTTATTTTACCAGTATTAAAAACTTTTAAATGGAAACATGTGCCTGTAATTGCTCTAACCCCCAGTATCATGTTCAATTTCCCCCATCCAAAGAATTTTTCCATCTCCGATTCTAAACCGCACTCGATTTTCAATAGCATTTACACTGGGGGGAAATGTGGCTTAAATTCGAATAAATACAGTATATATACATATGTGTGTGTTTATGTGTGTATATATTAAAAAATGGGCAGTGTATTTATGTAGTGACTAAAGCAATAGCACCTTGGGGAGCTAAAAAACGGGTTACTGTTTTAAATCCTATGAGTACATAGGGCAAATAGCCCCCTTCCCCAAATCTATTGAACATGTAGACTAAACAGAACTATAAATAAGGATGTGTGCGTGTAATAATTAAAATTAGAATACACACCGATTACATCTTAGTATTCTTGACATTTTTTACACATAAAGGAAAATGCAGTCCCCAAACGCACGATTTTCTAACAAAACATCAAGAAATATGTTAAAAATAACCAAGATCATGATTTTAAAAAATCGGAACATTTTTCAACATTTAATAAAACTCTCCCAGAATCTCCAAAAATGTTGAAAAATTTTAATTTTCAAAATGAAACATTACCGACTTACGCAAAAATTATTTACACAACCTATTATTATCTTCATCAAACGTATTTCGGTACAGGTACAACAGCTTATCATTTTCAGACCGCTCTGTCATGGGAAATAAATACGAGTAGACATCACACACAAATCCTAAACTCGCACAATACCGGTTTTTAAAATACATAAAAATTATAAATAGCGAAACAATAAGATTTTTTAAAAAGAGAGTGAGAGAGAGAGAAATAATGATCAACCACAAGGACTTTCTACATGTCGAGAGGAACCAAGATAAAAAAAAAATAGGAAACGCCTTAAAATTCTTTATGCATGCTCAAACAAGTGAAGCATGAGATTTTTACATCATTAATGCATTCTGAATACGTAGTACAGCATTAAAGCAGAGAAAAGAGCTTCGGCGATAAAAAAAAATGTGGTTTTTTTCTTTGCCTTGCTTTCGGTTGAGTGAATGAATTTAACGTTTGGAACATCGACCAAACAATGAGAGTCTTTTTTATTATTATTTAAATACGGCAAATATCCTCTCGCAGGTAACATCAGTTGTCAGGTGAGGTTCTTGATCATGCAAGGCTCAACAAGTACGTTGAATATATGAAATTTTGTTACATTAAGAAGGTAAACCAAGTAATATACTAAAAAAAAATTAAGTCAATTCCTACTTAGATCAACAAAGAAAATTTTTATTTTAGCTACTTTTTATTAAATAGTTACGATTAATAAAAATATGTATATACACAGGACAGAATCACAACATAAAGTGATGATTAATTTTTATTAATTATCATTAAAGTATCGTATTGTCATCCAAAACAATCGTGTATATAAAATTTCAGTTCAACTGAATACTTTAAAATGTAAAAAATCCTTTTCAAGTTTTGACACAAATCGCCAAACATAATGCCAACGTGGCTGTGCATTTGTAATTCTTTATAAATAATTAATTTAATCAATTAATTTTTATTAATTATAATTAAATCATTGCATTGTCATCCAAAATAATCATGTACATAAAATTTCAGCTCAATGGAGCGCTTTAAAATGTATTTTATTACGATTGAAAATTCCACCAAGGTAAATAAATAAATAGAGAGTGCGAGCTAATAGAGGAATTGAAAAATTAAATCATTTCCTACTTAGGTTAACAAAGAAAAATTTTACTTTAGTTACTTTTTATTAAATAATTACAATTAATAATATGTGTGTACACATGACAAAATCACACTATTAGGTGACAAAATAGAAATCGATTTTCCTCGCAATTTTACATTTTCTTTCTATATAGGGTGTTGGGTTACTTTTGTTTGTTACTATTTATATTTATTAATTAAATTTAATTATTCTAATAAAATAAATAAGCACAGTAAAAAGAAATCGCTTTCTCAGAAATTAGGCCATCCCAGGTGGGATTCGAACTATCTTTGGATTAGAGGTCCAACGAGCTATCCATTGCGCTACAGGGATCCTACAAACGATTTTCCTTTCTATATATGACCTTGAACTATTATTTTTGTATCTTACTATTTATTCATTAATAAATTTAATTAAGGAATTAATATTTGAAAAAACTGTATTAACATCATTCACTACAAGTTTAAAAAATTGTATTTGAACTTGAGTGGATGAATAAAAAGTATTTTATTAACGATTTAAAATTTGAAGAAGATATATATATATATATATATGTGTGTGTGTGTGTGTGTATATATAAAGGGAGAGTGTAAGCTAATTGTAAGAATTGTAAAAATTAATTATAAAATTCTAACGAGATGAACATTAAAAGATGCATAAATAAAAGAGACATATTTCTGTGTGATTTTTTATATTGTTAAATATAATAAGCATACAATTTCCTAATTCCTGATTCCTGCAACACAAGAGGAAAAAGTATCACTAGTACATAAAAGAATTATTCAACATAACTGTAATCACGTGTTTCCAGCCAATCAATTTATACACTAATTTGACGTCATAGTCACATGATAAATGTAATCACGTGTTTCCAGAACCCATTTAATATTTCGGGCCCTGGGCCAAAGGACCTAAGGATCTGGCACTGAACAAATTTATAACCAGAAAATCTAGTTAAGTCAAGCTTATTCGCCCCCGCCCAGTGGATAAACCGGCACTGGTTTCCAACCAATCAGTTTATGCGCTTCGCTGTTGCCAATTGGTTAAGACGACATTTAAAGTAGCACCACTTCTTCAAACTACCAAACCATCACGCGTTGTTCGCGTTTAAGGCATTTCAGTTCTTACATGGCGAGTGATCAGTGGTACTAGGGTCCAAACCCATGACACACCCGCCACAGCTCTAAATAACCACACAGGCACAGGCCAAGATACTCAGCAGGAAAAATATTTTGGAAACCACAGAGTATAAACCTACCATTAGTCATCTCTTCAAAATATATTTATTTATGAATAATATATATATATATTATATATATATATATTATTTTTTAATATATATATATATATATATATATATATCTTGTTCAAATTTTCAATCGTTAATAAAATACTTTCTATTCATCTATTCAAGTTAAAAAACATTTTTTTTAAACTTGTACTGGATGAAACTTTATGTTAATACATTTTTTCAAATATTAATTCATTAATTAAATTAAAAAGTGAATAAATAGAAACAAACAAAATTAATAGTTCAACACCATATATATATAAAGCAAGATTGTTCGTTATATCCCTGTAGTGCAATGGATAGCCGTAGGACTTCTAATCCAAAGGTCGTGAGTTCGAATCCCACCTGGGATGGCCTAATTTCTGAAAATGTGATTTCTTTTTTACTATACTATTTTATTAGGATAATTAAATTTAATTAATAATGAATAAATAGTAACAAAAAATAGTCCAACACCCTATATAGAAAGGAAAATGGAAAATTGCAAGGAAAATAGCTTTCTCTATTTTGTCACTTATATTGTGATTCTGTCATATGTATATACATATTTATATTAACTGCAACTATTTAGAAAGAAGTAACTAAAATAAAAATTTTCTTGTTGACCAAAGTAGGAATTGATTTAATTTTTTTATTACTTGTTTCTTAATATTAGAAGAAATGTCAAAAGCGCGTTTAACAATATCTAGCATAGAAATACATCAAAAATATTAATTTTTGAATTTAACATTTTTTTTTATTGGGTACACTGAAAATAATCCGTTTGAAGAGGTGGATTATTAAACAACTGAATTATGGATATAAAAACATAAATTGATAATCTATTCGAATTTGCTGTAGGCGATTGCGTAATTTTAAACCTAATTTAAAACATCGAAAATTAAGCATTTTCCACAAATGGATAAATTAATAACTTTTAAAAACAGAAGGCCATTTGATTTACAAATAATTAATCGGCAAATATTATCGATCTATTTAATTCTACCATTAGATCTCTATCAATTCATTAATAATTTTTGCAAAAAATGGGAATCAAACTGGTTTATCTTCTTATGTAAATGAGGATAAAATAACTCGAGAACGTTTTGCTAAACATTGCGACTTTAATTACATATGATTGATTGCATTCATGTATTAATTTTAAGAATTATTTATTTTTGTATTAGAAAATTATAGTTTCATGATCACACTCTCGTTTGTAGCCTTTTAAAATATGGAAATAAAACAATTAAAGTTCATTATAAAAATTAAATTCTCAGAAGTGGATCTGTTTATAAGTATAATGCTTTTTTACATTTTCTGAAAAAGATCGCATGCTTTTGTAACTCTACTAAATTATAATTTTTTTAATGCCTTTTTTGAAATATAAAAAGAAATTCTTTTCATAAATTAAGTATTGATTTTATCATCATGTTTAATCAGACCTTTTTAAGAACGATTGTTCATTATTTTTCAGAATTATAAATGAATTCAAGATATTTATCATTCATAAAACTTTTTATCGTGCTTCAAACTCTTTCAAAACATAAATTATTCAACACTTATTTATCATTACTTAAAGCTGTTTTCTTTTTCTTTTTTAATTTCTTAGGTGAATCGATAAAAATTTCTTTAAATGATTTAATATCGATTCTTATAAATGATTTAAAGAAAAATCCACTTTATATAAACAAAATATAATTAAGAATTTAAATTATTATACCTGTTGTAAACGGTAAATAAGGTGAATTATCACAGAATTCTGCGACGGTATTAAATACCGTAAAATCCGGCGTATAATGCTCAATTTTAACACAAAAAATAAGATCGAAATTTACGGCAGCGCGTTATACGCCGGGTATAAAAATGATAGCTTTAAAAATAAAACAAGTAATATGAAAAAAAATTAAGTCAATTCCTACTTAGATCAACAAAGCAAAATTTTATTTTAGCTACTCTTTATTAAATAGTTACAATTAATATAAATATGTATATATATAGGACAGAATCGCAACATTAAGTGGTCATTAATGTTTATTAATTATCATTAAAGTATCGCATTGTCATCCAAAACAATTGTGTATATAAATTTCATTTCAACTGAATACTTTAACACGTGAGAAAAAACCTTTTCAAGTTTTGACACAAGTCACCAAAAGGGTTGCTAAGTCGCCAAAAATGATACCAAAGTGGTTGTATTTGCAATTCTTTAAATAATTAGTTTTAATCAATTAATTTTATTAATTATTATTATATTATTGTATTGTCATCCAATATAAATTTCAGTTCAACTGAACACTTTAACACGTGAGAGAAAAAAACCTTTTCAAGTTTTGACACAAGTCGCCAAAAGAGTAGCTAAGTCACCAAAAATGATGCCAACGTGGTTGTATTTGTAATTCTTTAAATAATTAATTTTAATCAATTAATTTTTATTAGTTTTTTTGTATTGTCATCCGAAATAAACCTGTACATAAAATTTCAGCTCAATGGAGCGCTTTAAAATGTATTTTATTAACGATTGAAAATTCCACACAAATAAATAAATAAATATATAGAGATTGTGAGCTAATAGTAGGAATTGTGAAAAAAGGAGATGTGAGTATAAAAAAAAACCGAAACTTAAGACTTCTACAAAGATCGGAATACTGTTTATTCAAAAGAACATTATGAACTTAAAGGGTTATTTTGCAAGAAATATACTATTTTTTCACAATCCATGGATAATACCTCAAACAAACGGCTTTAAAACATAATAGCATTGCTAATGTACATTGCAAATACTTTCGTAAAAAAGAGGATGCGCGTTATACGGCGAATATACTTCAAAATTAAAAATTGCAGCTTGAAAGTATAGGTGCGCGTTATACGCCGGATTTCACGGTATTTGCAAACAAATACCACATTATCTTTTGAAACATAGCTCTACTGACAGCACTAGAGTTAGTGCTGAAACTTTCATAAAAGTCCTTTTACAGAACTGATTCAAATCCCTTGGTAACAACAGCTAATATTAATTCATTGTTTATTAACATCACACACTTCGAAGTATTACAAAGACTACAGGGGACAAACCTTGTAATTCAGAATCGCGGTCGAGAGACGAGGATGATACCTGAGCTTCCAAACTTCAACAGCACGCTAATGTTTGAGTCTAGACAGACTTGACGAGGTTCAGACCCCTCTATACGGTCCCTATCACCATTATTCTAACCTACGATTCGATAGAACAATGCCGGCCACAAATTCCTGATCATTAACTTGACAGCAGCTTGTAAGTCAGAAATATCAGCAATATTCAAACCAGATGATCAAAATTGTAAATGAATATTTTCGTTCTTCAATTTTCGAACACCTTTTGGCTGATATTCGTCAAGTTCGGCCACAAATCGCTACTATAGGATATTGAAAGTTGTTTATTTTAATAATGCAAGGTCTCGGATTGCTTCATCCGGCATATTCTCCGGATCTTCCACTACTAGATCCCCCCATTTCTCATTCTTTAAAACGGCATTGAAAAGACAGATTAGCCAACATTTCAGACATCCAAGTTGCTGTTGATACCAGGGAATTTGAATCATTACGGAAGGATAACTTTTCTTAAACTCGGTATTTCGAAGGATTGAGATATTTTTATAAAAATATTTAATGCAGAAACCGTACCGTGATCATTCCCCCTACTACTGACTAAACCTTGCATACACATAAATACGTAAAATTAAATGTAAAAATTTTATATATTTATGGCTTTTTTACATGCCATAAGATAAATATTCTTTTAAGTTCCAATATTCTTAAAAATGAATAAGAGAATTCTTTTCAATTCCTACTATTAGTTCACTATCTCCATATACACATCTTGTTCAAATATTCAATCGTTAATAAAATACATTATAAAGCGCTCGATTCAGCTGAAATATCATACATACGATTATTTTTATAACAATACGGTAATTTAATTATAATTAATAAAAATTAATTAATAAACTAATTATTAAAAGAATTACAAGTACAGACACACTGGCATCATTTTTAGCGACCATTTTGGCGACTTGTATCAAAA